AGATTGAAACCAGAATTAGGTATGATAATCATCTGAAGGAAGAATGAAGTAGTGGTCAACAAAAACATCACTCAGTCCAAGGGCAGATAGGCTGTGTTAACCCAGCATTTGGACTCTCTTCGCAGTGCCCTGAGAACGACCGTTCAGGTAAGCCAACGGTCTTTTCATGCACTTCAGAGACACTCCTGATTTTTTTAAATTTCCCACTACTTCATTCTTCCTGCAGATGATTATCATACCTAATTCTGGTTTCAATCTTTTTCAAATAGTATATTGTAGCCATTCACATCTATGATAGTTTGGTATATGTTGTAACTTTAAATGTACTTGAAAGCATGAAATTAGCTTTAGGATCTATATTCTTTTTGCATTTTCCATCTACAAGCATGAAAGGAACTGGATGAGTTGTTTCAATCCAAGGAGTTCTCAACTTACAGCCATTGGTTCAGCAACCATTCAAGGTTGCAATAGAATGAAGTCATTTTATGACCAATGCTCAAAGTTATGGATGTTGGAGCACCTTTATGGTTACATGATCAAAATTGGAGAGTTGGTGGCCCACCTGCACTTAGGATTGCAGGAGCACTGCAACTCACCCCACCTGCCTTTCTCTCCCTCCATATTTGCCATTTTGGCTCCCTGCTGATTTTTGCTGCTTTCTTGTTCCCACTGTTGGCAAGGTCGGCCTGGCCTGGCTACTGGGCCACATATGACTGGCTTTGCACGCTGAGGAGGAAAAGGCTTAAAGGAACTCAAGCATGTCAAAACACCCCTTTGCTGGGGAAAAGAAGAAGAAAAATTTAAAGGAACCCTTTCTGCAATGAGCTGGACAGAACTAGGACTGCTCTTGGTGTTTTTTTTTCCTTTTTCACAAAGCAAAACCATTCAATCCAGAAAGATGGTGAAAAGGAGCATTTTGGTGGATTATCTCATTAAGCTGCTTTGTGCTCTCCCCCCTCTTCTGCCCCCCCCCCAATGTGAAGTCATACCTTGTGAACAGCAGGATTGTAGTCGCTAAGTGATATGGTTATGTGGTCTTTTGCTTTATGGCCGAATTGCTTAGCAACCTAAATATCTATTCCAGTTGTGATTGTAAGTTGAGGACTACCTATATTTTATGTATACTTGGAATTCTCTTTCTTCTGCTTTATAGGTCAGCAATAGTTACTCTTCTTCCTGATATATAAGTCAGAAATAAAAAATTTCTAGTCCATAAGCCAAACATTTCTTACAGATCACTGCTTCAGGTTTTGTTCCATATAGTTACTAGAGGAATCAGCATAAAGCCAAAGGAGCTTGCTTTATTTTATAATGTGTTATTATGATTCTTTGTTGCTTTTATCTTATTTTCTTTGTTATCTGTTTTGATATTCAGAAGTTGCAAGGATCTTTGGAGGTTGCATATGGGCAGTTTAATGAAGCAGAGAATTCAGAAGTGTTTGAAGAGTTCTTTGAATGGAAGAATGCTAGGCTGGAGAAATTCAGTCGGGTTAGGAATGCTACAGATGCTTCCTTACAAAATCTTGTATTAAGTTTCAGCAAGATAATTCAGGTAAAAAAGATATGTCTTATATATTAAAAAAAACTTTGTTCAAATTTGCAGTTAATCTACATTTATATTAAAAGTCTGTTTAGAGGTTGTGGTCTAATTCTTTTTAGATTTTTTTGGATCAGACAAATTTGCAACTTTTCAGCACTGCAGCTAATAGTCATCTGGAGAGAGAAAAATCTCATTAAAAGGCAATAAAATGTAGAAAAGTAACTTGCTTCTTTTTTGCTATGTGTATGTACTGCAGCTGAATCCAAACAAGGAGATAATTGTTGCTTTTGCAAAAAATAATACTACATTGGAAGATCCAAAATGAAATACTTCATTATATAAAATAGCCATTAATATTTGAATGGAGAATTGTTGGTTGAAAATAAAAAAAAACTGCCACAGTGGTCTTCAGGAGAAAATTAGTATCATGACTTAATTTAAAATGACAGCTGGGCTGCATTCATATTTTATTGGGGAATAATATTCAGCTGTGATTGACAATATGAAATGGAATCACATTAAATTGGTGCAATGAATGAACAGCATTTGATGGGATTTGGTCTAAAAGAAATTGAGGTGTTTCAGATCCTGTTCCATTGTCTTGGAACCATGATGCACACACACTGCATGCCCAATTACACCAAGGAGAAAGCAAGATCCATTTCTCAGAGGCAGATCACGTTTCCTTTAGTGTCTTGCCAGTTGAGTTTTAGCTTATTCTTTCTAGTATCAGATAGCAAAACAACTAAATACTTGTTCCAATCTTGTCATCAAGAGCGAATGGTTGTTAAAAAAAGCAGAGATTAATCAACTGAATACCCTCAATTTGAGTGTTGACAAGCTGCATTGGAGTGTGATGGCTTTATTTGCAAGTCAATGTTGACAGTAATTTTGGGAGGACTTGGCTATTTATTTTTTTGCTTTCTTGCTTAAAAAGATAAAGATTGCTTAAGGCAGAATGGAACCAATCTAACATTGCAATTTTCTAATTCACTATTAACTTTTTGAGTAATCTGTCTGGAATTACTTTGCAGATTAATACTACTATAGATAACCACTTTTTGTTTGTGTCTCTTTTCCTGTCAAGTTTTTTGACCTAGGGTCAGCAATATTAATGAAATCCGAGGATGTAGATTTCAATGTAGATGAAGTTCTTAAGAATGCCGAGCATGATATTTCACAAGAATTTGACATGTTTCTAACAGTAAGATATGTTTATTATATTTTTTCTTTCACATAAAACTCTCAAAAGTGTTTTTTTTCCCCAAAAGGCGCAACTGGACTGTTTTTCCTTGAAGAAAAACAAAATGTTTAGTTTCTCAACCAAGAAACTTCATCAGTTATAATGGGAGAGAGAAGAGTGGGATGGAAGATAGGTACTGACAATTGAGAATGGATAAAAGAGGGAATGAAAGGATAGGTTCTGACTGGATTGTGATGGGGTGGATATGAAGACACTAATAAAGGAGAATATTTGTAGCTCAGGGTTGACATGAGAAATCCTTGATGTTCTCTGAGCTTTCTTGCTTTCTTGCAGATGTTACATTAGCCATTAGAGTGCTAGCTCTGATGATGTTACCTAGTTTGAGTAATGAAATGTCTGCAAGAAAACAAGCAAGCTCAGAGCACCAAGGATGGAAGGATGATGTGTGTGTGTTGGGGGAGGGGGGGCAACAAATATAATCCTTCTCCCACCCACCTCACCCAGTCATAAACTATCCTTCCATCCCAACTATTGTTTGATAATTGTCAAGATTGTGAATGCTCCTTATTTCCCAAAGTTATTCTCATAGTGTATAACCATAGCAGTCTGACATATCATTTATTGCTTCACAATCATGGTATGAATATTGTATAGCATGAGGCACCATACAGGGGTTTTGCAGTGATTCAGTTTTAAATAGTACATAGCAGTTGTTGGTAATTCTTTAAAAGAAGCTGTATCTCCTCCTGGATTCATATGGATTATACTGCAGCATAATCTCAGAAAAAATACATCAAATTTTAGAAATGCTGACAACTATAAATTCTAAATCACCCTTTCATCCTCAAATCCAGATCTCCGGGGAGCTGGAATAGGAGATGCTGAATATTGATAGTATCTTTTAATGTAACAAGATGTTTAGAATACTCTCATTACCTTTATATGGATTAAAAACTTGGTTAAACCCCAGGTCTTTTTATGCAAAGCAAGTTGCTGTTAGTTTTTTGAAAAAGATTCCAACCTGCTTCTCCATTTTTCTTCAAATTTGCAGAAAGGGGCTAGGAATTTCTCATCTGTATTTAAAAATACATGAATTTCAGCTTTTAGTAAAACTTGCCTTTCAAGACATCTACTACTAAACATTAAATCATGAATTAATTCAATAGTAAGAATACGGGTTTATTTCAGTGTTTGTAATAAAATATTAAAATCATAAAGCTAACTATAGCAGTAAAAAAATAGCATAGCATATGGGTTGTCCTTGGGTAATGACTATTTCTTTAGTGACTGAAGTACCAACTGAATTTACAACTGTTCCTCTAAATTAGAGTCATTGCAGCTTCCTTGCAAACGTGATCAAAATTTATCTTTTAGTCTGATTCTGTTACAAAGATGTGAATGCTTGGCATTCATTTATTGAGCTCATTTTGCCATACTCAGCCTTGTAACCTGCTTGATCAAGAAGTATGGATGTAAGTTTTGTAGAATATTATGTTTCTGTTGTTATTTATATGTGTGAGAGTTCTTTTTATGAATGGTGTACTTTCTACTTCATCAAAAAAAAAATCTCATATTTTTTCATTTAGAATGCACTTCATATTTAAAAAATCAACACATTTTGTAATTTTGTTATTATAGATATTTATTGTTGCTCTAATTTCTTTCAGGAGTTAGATGAGAAAGATAAAAAAATCATCTTAAATATGTATAGTTTGGTTATGTGGAAGATCCTTCAAGAACAAGATCTCATAAATACATTGAATCAAAAATATCTTGAAAGTTGTGAGGTCAGTTGTCTAGCTGCTGCTTTATCATATCCTACAATATAGAAAGTTATTAACAGCTTTTTAAAAGATACTTATGGATCTTTTTCAAAAACTTCAGTAGGGAAAAACATTTAATGAGTCATATAAGTCTAATAGTACACCCAGCCTTTTTGTTTGACTTAAAATGTGATCTGAAAATGTTAACACTTACATTGTAATGCAATTTGTGTATAAGTAGTAATATTCCTCAAAGTATAGGAGCTTTTACCATTTGAAGAAATCGATTCTCATTAATAGTGTGTTTTCTTTTTCAGTTCAAAAACCAGATTGTGGAGTGGCTAGATATAACTCCTAATACTGATGATTTGTTACTGATAAAGAAGAGAATGAAAAACATGAAGGCTAAGCTGAGGTTGAAATTAGGAGAAAGAAATAACTTGGAAGAAGTATGGAAATGCTATTTTGATGTTTTAAGATTATTATTATTTCTTATTTTCAATAAGAAATAGTGCATGATGACATAGAAAATGTTGCTTTCTAGCTTTGGAGAAATGTTGTTATGGACATAATTTATACAAACAAATCCAGCCTAAATGAAAGCTTAAAGGGATTTATATTAGAACAAAGTTGGAAAGAAACAAAAATGGCAGATTTCTGAACAAATTAATTTGCACATAGTGTTTCACATTGCTAATGCTCCTCGTTCTTGATTATTGCAATTTGAGAAAGTACACAATTTCTTCATGTATTATTGATTATTCAGTTGAAAACAACAGATATTCCATTTGTCTTGCAGCAGATTATCATGACTCCTGAATGGATATATTAAACAGTATGAGATTGGAAAGCTGTGCAATGTTGATTGTACAGTTAATGTCGAATTGGGATAAGAGTTAAAAGGAGCATACAGGCATTAAGAAACATGAAGGGAGAAGTTGAATAAGAAAAAAAGTACTATATAAGTATCCAGGGAGAAATTTAGTTAGAGGGAAGTATCACCTTCTAGGATTAATCCAAATGTCTGTTTCATTCAGCATCCAATTTTTTATAATGACTAAGGAGACACATCTGAGAAATAAATCAGTGTCAAGTGACAGTAGTTCTCCCCACCACCACACATTAATACCTCTTGTCTTGAAAATTTAAGGTGGCCATATCTTCAGTTAATATAAGCATTCCCAGTATTTTGGCTTTCAGATCCTTATTTGTATATGGTATCTTTGTGGCCGGAAGTATTTTGCAAATTGTATTTAACAACAGCTGTCATCACCTACTGCCACATTGGCTGATGTTGTTGGAGGTATAAAAGCTATCATAAAACTAATTGAGAAAGTTCCAGATTGTAAATTCAGCAGAATAAGTAAATTCCACAGATATGGAAACTACAAGCTTAGAATTATCTAATATTTACAACATTCTGACCTCTAGAGAGATCACTTTAAAGAAAAAAGCCTAATTTTAATTATGGAAACATAAGCATTTAGTGTGTCATAGACATAGTATCATAGGACTGAAAGTGACCTTGGAAGTCTTCTCCAACACCCTGCCCAGAGCAGGAAACCTTATACTATCTGGATCAAATAGATGTCATCTTTTCTTGAAAAACTCCAGTGATAGAGCATCCACAATTTGGGGAGGCAAGCTGTTCCATTGATTAATTGTTGTTGTCATGAACTTTCTCTGGATTGGATTTTTCTTTAACAAGCTTCCACCCATTGTCCTGCTCTCAGGTGTTTGGCAAATAAGTCAACTCTTCTCTTGATTGCCCCTCAAATACTGGAAGTTAACAATCATGTCATCCCTAATTGTTTTCCTTGTTAGGCTAGATGTATCTACTTCTCTTAACCATTCATCATACAGTTCAATTTCCAAGCTTCTTGTAATTTTTGTTGCTCTTCTGTACACACTGACTAGAATATTGGCATCTTTTTATGCAGTATTCAAAGTGTGGCCTCACTAGTGTAGTATAGAGTGATGGCATTGTGTCTTGTGATCATGATGATGCAGCTTTGTTGATTTTTGTAGCTGACTAAAGCTCTTTCATTGGATAGTGGCTGGTAGTCACATGAATGGAAGGTATTATGGAGGCCATCTAGTTCAGTCCTTTCTGAGGGTAAGAAATCATCATTCCATCTAGATAAATGACTGCCGAACCTTTGTTGAAAAACCTGGTGATGGAGTATCTATAATCCCAAGATAAGGTTTTGCCACTGCTTAATAGCTGTTATTTGTAAACCAGTCAGAAAGTGTTGAAAGCACTGTACATCAGTATCTAACTCTTAAGTGATATTGCTAATGTTATAGTTAGGAAATTTTTCCTGATTTGAGTTTGGATCCTCTCTAGTGGGTTCTCTGGAGCCGAGGAGAATAAATCTGTAAACTTCTAGAGCTCCAAGTCTTCCCAAACTTGTGCCTTGGGTGCTGCAGGATATTTTAAATTTGGACCTAACTATTTAATAAAGGGGACTTCTAAATATATATTGTGGCCTAATGGCACTGTGATTATTAGTATCCTTAGAGACTCAAAAATTAAGTCTTTAAGGAAACAGTAAACCAAAAAAATTGGGGAATCTCTGTTTAAGTCCTTTTCTAGGTCCACATTGCTCTTCTCTGTACTCCTTCCAGTTCCATGCTGTCTTCCTTAAATTGTGGTGAACCAAACTGGACAAAATACCTTTAGGCCGAGTCTAACTAGTGCAGCATATAATAAGACTGTTTTGTTTAGATGAATAAAAATGTTTTTAATCCTTTTCAATATGTGGTTTATGAGGCAGATACCTTATTAATTGTTATTTGGCCATGAAATTGAATCTATGTTGTTTCTGAGAATCACCTTTTGTCTCAAGAGTATCTTCAATATGTAAATAAGAAAGAAAACCTGAAAGAAATTGGTATTAACTTGATCAGGTGAAAAAGGAGAAAGCATATTTGATATGGTGACTGGAAATTAATGTAATTTTAGATACAAAAAGAAGGAATGGGAAGGTGAAGAGAAAGAAAATAAGTAGTATACCAAATTTATAGTGGGTATATTACCTGGTGAAAATAAGACTATTTTTTTGAAGTAGTAATTTTAAAATTTCTGTAGACTGATAATTACAGCAAGTCTGAAATGGTGGAAATAAAAAAAGAAATCAGTGTACTACAGGATAATATATTTCAAGACATATATAAGGAACAAGAAGAATATGTAAGTATTCAGTTATATTAGCATCTTTGAAATAAGTCATTTTCTGGTCCTGGAATTCATTTTAAGTAATATATGGTGTAATGCCTATGAAATTAAGACAGATGTCAGAGTTCCCTCATTTCAAGCAAAATTATGGCCATCTGTGTGTTAACTAAAGACTAGTAGAGCCAAATTATACATTGTTTTCATATTTATAAATGGATATGGATAAAGCTGAAAAATTGTATTTTTGTTCATGTTCCTGCTAAATATATTTCCAGGAAGGAAAAATTGAATATTTCATTCAATATTTTTGATTGACATTTAATTTATTTACATAAAGAATTTATGAGACTACCCACTTCATCCTAGGGCAGCTAAGAATACAGGGGGGGGGGAAAGAAATAAGAAGAAAATAAGTAATTTTCTCAATTTTAATTAATATTTGATGCAAATAATACTTTAATGTTTTGAAATAATAATTTTAAATTTATGCACTCAGTCTGATGATTACAGTGATTTTGAAATGGCAAAAACAAATACAATGCTACCAAGGCGGCAAAAAAGTTTCAGATAAAATTTACCCCAAAACATACATATTGGGCTCAGCTAATATCCTTGCCCTAATGCCCTTGAAAAGAATAAAGTCTTCAGGCTTTCCAAGAAGCTACCAGGTCAGGAACATCTGAATCTCAGAGGGAGCCTGTTCCATACTACAGATTAGAAAATTGCTCTCTGGTTTCATCAACAATCTTGCATTTTTAAAATGTCCTATTATATGGAACTATAAAATGGCAGTAGATGGAAAGTAGATATATTTTAGAGATTGGCTGAGGATCAGTGCTCATGCCCCCTTTTTTCTGAAAAACTGCCTTATTTGGAGAACAAAATTAGTGGTAGATACTACCACACAAGGATTTTTTCCTCTTTTTCTTTTTTTTAGAATCAGAATTTGTTGATAGATTTGGTATCGGTTACAATCAAGAAGAATCTGATCATTTCCCCTCTGGTTGTAAACACTACAACCAGAAGGTTTCTACTTTGTCTTCGTTTCTAAGATTACAGTCAAGGATGATTGATTGTGCAATAATCCATGCTTTGAATTGTCATCACATGCTTAGTTAAAATAGCTGTAAACAACTAGAGATGCTGCTGTACCGAAGAATGAAGACACAAGTGGAGCTCTTTGGGACAAAGAGTTTCTACTGACACCAAATAGTTAAATCTTCTGCACTGAAAGTGGAGGATAAAGAGAGACTTAATTATCCATTAATATTTACCTGCTCATTGCAGATTCACCATTGTGATACTACCTAATGAACATGCTTCCAACATACTGCTGGATATTGTTTTTATATAAATACTTTTTTTCTAATTTAGGAAAAGCTAATTCATCTAGTTCAAAACATTTTCCCTGAGCTGCCATTCCTTCATCCTGAAATAGGAATTTTGAAGTATATGGTAAGGTCAAAGTTTTCTTTACAAATATAGATATATCTTTGACAAAAGCAATTTACAGTACTAGATGTCTTATAGCAACCCCAAAACAAAAGTAATGGGCTTAAAAGTTCAATCAAACAATCTGTAAAGCAGAGGAAAAGAGCTGGCTTTACTTTTTACAAGAATTCTGTGCTGCTGTTTGTTCCAGAGCAGGAATATTTTTAAATGTACCTCTTTGTCTTATAATCAGCCTGTTATGCTATGCCTTCTGAGTAAATAGAATGACACAAAGCTTTTTACCACCATAAATGGAATGCACAGAAATATCATGTACAGATCTATGAACCAAAATTGAGAATTATCTGCTTTAATTCATATTCCCCAGAACTCAGGAGGTCTGATTGTCAGTTTAGAATTTGATCTCTTAAATGCTGAGCCAATGAAGGAACTGAGCATAAAACGTCCAGTGATGTGCTCCACAGTTCAAGGACAAAAGATTCTCCTGAAGGTATGCTTTCTGAATGATTAGCTTGTTTTTCTCCTCCATACTTACTGCTAATAAAAGACTAGCTTTTAGGTAGAATTAGGAAATATTAAAATAGCTGAGTTTATTTTGGAGCTGATAACTATATTTATATAGTGATATAAAAAGTCTATACACTGAGATGTAAAAAAATCAGACCAAGATAAATACTTTCATAATAGACTTGGGTAACTGATATATTGTTAACATTACTGTCTAGATACCTAATTCATTAGTTAACCAATTAATTAATTAAGTATAAACTATTCAAAAAGTTTATAGATTAATGTAATAGAACTGTATAAATACTCTAACAGCAGCTAGAAGGTACTGGAACTACAGATCAAAGGGGGAGAGCTGAATTAAGTTAAATGGCAACAAGAATAGTAACCTTAAGTTACTTAAGCAAAAAACAAACTTCTCTATCCACTCCGGTGAGGGAAAAGTCGCCTGAGGGCAGGCAGACGGGAGATAAGACAGCCTCAACTTCACAAGGCCAGGAGGTAACAATGGACTCTTT